CAAGAGCTTTCCTTGCCTGGCCACGAAAATGAGAAGCACCAGCTCCTCATCCTCCAATCTCCCAGCATGGGAGAGCATGAATGCATTTCATCTAAACAATTCGGGTTTGGATTGTTTCCCCAAATTGATTCGGACCTCTGACAGCTAAGCGGAGCCAGGAAGGACCCCCCACGCCCAAGCTGACATGGTTCTACCCCTTGTGCCAAGGCCAGCTTTGGCCCATGCTCTTTTCAAATTTACCCCTCATCGACTCAGAGTGGTGGTGATGCTAACTCGGCTCTTGGCGAGGAAGGCGCTTTCTGTCCTGTGTAGCCACGAGCAAAGGAAATAAAGCAGCAACTCTCCCAGAACTGGCTGCACCCAAAGGGTCCCACTGATTTCTTTCTCCAGTTCTATAACCCTTTTGTTCCGATATCATGGGAGCTTTGGCATGCAGACACGCTGATTTAAGGGTTTGCCAAGAAAACACCACAAATTTCAGCAGGGTGCTTCAGGGTGGTGGTGGGAGATGAGTGATGCCGAGACCCAGGACCACCCGATGCTCCCCACCAAGGGGAAGGAATGAAATATGGAGGGTTCAAGCTCCCTGGACAAAGCGGTGCTTAAAAATTCCAATAAAAATCACTGCAAGAAGAATTATGTTTGGAGGCCGGGCCCATCACATTGCTCAGCTTGGCTCAGCCTCCACTGGGCTTTCACAGGGAGGTGGTGCGAGCGGCTCCTGGTGAGATGGATTGGTCCCTGGTCACTCCTCCGGAGCAGGGAGACCTGGCCCTCCAGCGATGCGGGGATACAGGAGATGCTGTCGAGTCATTTCTCATGGCTCTCAGGCTGTCAGGACACCTGGCTCACTCCCAGCCTGGGGATAACCCTCTCCCAGCCCCCAGCGAGGGGTCCCTTTGCTGAAGGGAGGTCTCTAACCTGCTGAGATGCTTTATGCCAACCCAGTTGGGCTTGGGAAGATCCCTAAAACACCCTCCTCTCCAGGACAAGGATGCAGAGTTATGGGCTTGCTCCTTCCCTGACAGGGCCATTTGCTGCTCTGATTTGTGAGGTCTCAGGGCTGGAGGCTGTGTCCCTACCAGCAGCACCAGGGAGAGATGGTCCCTTTGTAGCAAGGCTGGAAGGTGTTTCAGACACCTACCCAAAGCCTTGGTCAAGGGTGAGGGGCACATCCTGACCAACACGCCTCTGACCACCCAGCCATCCCTATAGGCGCTCCCCTAGGATGGTGCACAAGTGGCAGGGAGGCCCCAGCTCCCCCACTGGCTGCACCCGGACCTGCTCTTCCCCAAAGTGTCCATGTTTGGTGCCTAAAATAAGCTGTACACCCCCTTGTCCAGCTCTAGGGTCCTATCGCTGCAGGCTCTTTGCTTTTGTCTTACCCGGTCCTGCTTGCTGGCCAGCTGAGAGATCATGGGGCAAATAGCCCAGCACCGTCCCCAGCTCATCTGGCACAGTGCCTGGCGCCGAGCTGGTGGCCATGACTCGCAGCCTGGGGCTGCTATGGGTCACGCTGCCACAGCACATCAGCTCAGGGCAGGCACTGAGGAGGGCTGTGGCCAATCGAGGTGGCATGCGAAATTTGGGATGGCCGAATGCAGTTGCCCCAGTTGGCATTTGCCCAGGACAGTGCAGGGAGTTCACGGAAAGGAGCTGTTTCCCTGGCTGTGTTGGTAGTCACGTGGAGCACACAGGTGGGAGATGTGTCCCCCGCCGAAACCACTCCCCACCCATGAATAGTGGGGACAGCAGGCTGGGGCTTCGGCAGCACCTTCCTTTCAGCCGGGATGTTGCTGATGGATGTGGATAAACTCTGCTTCCTCCAAGCCCTTGCTTGCATTCAACCCCTCTTGTGGTGGTCACGCTCTGGGAAGATGAGAGAGGACATGGGGACTGGCAGGGAAAAGGCTGTGAATAATAGGGAATATCCTCAGAAAGACCCTTACTGACCAATAAACAGCAGCAATAGGGCATTGAGGGATCCCTGTGGCCAGTTCAAACTGAGAGATGCTGCTCAAGTGTCACCAGCTCCAAGGCTGGTAGGCAGCTTAGCAGGGCAAACTGCATGCAAAGCTGACCTGAGGGATGCTTCCCACCACAACGATGGGGCAAAGCAATCATTTATTCACTCAGAAATATGCACCGTGCCCTGCAACCTGCTCTCAAGCAGGCGAGGGAACGGCATGAGCCAGGTCCTGCCTTTAGGAAAGGGCTGGGGCAGCTGCACAGGGTGGGACATGCCCTGGCCCCTGGCAGGAAGGAGCCCAAGGAGAGGACACTCCACCAAGGACCACAGACACCCAAGGGTGGCTTGGAAAAGCCACCATCTCCCCCAACACCCCTAATCACCCTCGGTGGGTCAGTAGAGCGTGCCAGGGCAGGTAGATGCAGGGATGTATGTCCCCATGGGAAGGCTCCCATCGAGCAAAGCGTCCCTGGCAGGGACAGATGGCCTGTCTGGTCCTGGGGCTGGAAAGAAGGGACAGGACTCCCCAGGCTCCTGGGTTCTCTGTTACACCAAGCTGCAGCACAAGGGTCTGGCTGGGAGGTGCCCAGTGTGAGTGCTGGGGCAGCAATGGTTCAAGGAGACCCGAGACGGTTTAACGTGATAGCGCCATGGACCAGAGCTCACCCCAGCAGGATCCAGGTAAATCCTTCAGATCCTGCTCTGCTGCCATCCACCTTCTGCTGCAGAGGGGACCGGCTGGGACTGAGCCTCTCCTGCAGTGCACCCTCAGCCGGGCAGTGGGCACGTTTTTCTGGAGGTCACGCTGATCCTTAAACTACTAGCTGATAACCTCTATCTGCCGATAAATCTTCCACTTATCAGCAGCACAGTCCCTGTGGATGGGAAAAACCCACCCTCAATTGAGCATCTAAAAGCCTCAGCTAGACCCTGAGGTTCCTTTATAGCAAGGGGTGAAACAGGGAGTCACAGACATAAATTTACTTCCCACCGAACAAGGTGGGTAGAGGAAAGCCTGCTCTACCCCATGCGTCCAGCAAGTTTAGCTGGCATGGCTGGGATGTGCCTACAACATTGCACCAAACTGTGGTGTTGGGCTAAAGGAAAGAGTTGTGGAGGCTGCAGGAACTGCCAGCTCTCACGATGCTCATGAGAAGACTTGGGGGGTGCCTGCGAGTCCCAGGGGCTGGGTCAAGGTGGGGACATCCCCACACTGAGTCTTCTTGCAGCCAGGACAAGATGGGAGGTTTAGCTTTGGGGAGGAGCTCTATGTGGCTGAAAAGAGATGGTGAGATGCACTGCGGTGTGTAATTAAACTCCTGAGGAGTTATGGAAGAGGATTTCTCCTGATGGAAGTGAGCAGCAGAGGGTGGTATGGTCAGGAAACAACGTTGTAAGGAAGGGAAGACCTGCCCCTGCTTGGCTTCGGGTTAGGTAGAACAATCTCTATTCTCAATACTTTGTGGTGATGGACTCACCAAACCTCACACCTCACATTGATGCCTAATTAAGGCACGAACCCGGGGCTGCAAGGCATTTCTGGCTCATGCCAGCCTAAGAGGAGATGTTGAAACACAGAGTGGCTGCTACTGTGTTCACAGGCAGCAGAACTTGTCCTTCAAATCAAGTCCTACAGAAAACGCTGGGCTTCACCTTCCTGTGACACCAGGGACCAAAGACCTTGTCCCTGTGCTCCCCAGGTTTCCCATCCCGGGAAGAGCTCCTGAGCATACAGCAACACCTTCAGCCAGTGTGAAAAGCCCTGCCATGGGGCCAGCCTTGGCTCAGAGTTCAATTCAAGGTGACGCCCATCACTTTTAGTACAAACCCCTTAATTTATGAACCCTCCTACACTGGTGAGGCAAAAGCAAACAGCCTTTACACCCCATGTCCTTCACAGCCGCGGCGCTGTTCAAATAGCCTGGGAATCTGCAGGCAGTGGGACGGAATAAGTCACCATTTCCCGGGGCCCTCTGGCTCCTATCATCATCCCCTGCTCGGACACCAAGGGAGCTGGGGACAGGACAGTCCCTTGGTGACAAGGCGGGGCAGGTGTCAATCCCTCGGGGGCGGGGGGTTGGTGGGGTGTGGGTGCAGTTGAGGTGGTGGAGATGGGGCATACGAAGAGAGGTGTTGTATTGCAGCGCACGGGTTGCGTTTGGCGCAAGGGCAAGGGGAAGGGAAAGGGAGGACACACGCAGCGGTGTGCCAAAGCTTCCCAGGATGGTCCTGTCTATCATAGCTTGCATAAATACAGTGACCCAAGTCCATCAGGGCCGCACTGCTGTTCCCCGGCTGCTGCCGCTGCTGCAGGACCTGCTGCTGCAGGACCTCTGGCTCCGAGCAAAGATACTTCCCCTGGCTGCTGCAGTCACCGGCCCTGAGACACCTCTGAGCACAAGCGTCCCCAACAACGCCAGTAACCACAGCCGTGTCCCACCCCGAGGCTGGGGTGTGAGACGCACCGCTGTTAGCATGCACAGGTCACATCAGCACCTAGGATTGCTCAGCACCAGAAACACGCGGATCCAGGCAACAAAAAAAAAAAAAGGAAATGCTCATATGCAGCAGTAAACAATGCTTAGATTTTTTGTTGTCTTTTGGGAGATTTTTGGTTCTCTAGGCATCCTCCACCAGAAAAACTCAGCTGGACTGGTCTCTTACCCTCAGGGCTCTCCTACTCCAGTAGGTAACCACTCAACTTTAATAATCAACCAGTCTTGAGTCCTTACTGCTTTTCCATCAAGCATTGGCCCCACTCTGGGTAACCCTGTGTCCTTACAGATTTAGCCACCTCTGGGAAAATCTTCCTGTGTCTTGCCTACACTCTCGCGAGCTCCTAGAAACACCCATCTCTTGGGATGCTGCATACTTTTTTCGAACACTCGGACATTTGGGGCATAAAAGGAAACCACTTGTCCCCATACAAACAACAGAATTTATGTATTTGTTTACTGCAGTTTCATGTCAGGCAAACGATTGTTCAGAAGGCATTTACCACCCAGATGCTTTAAAAGAAGGAACAACGTACCTGCAGGCTCCTCCGTGCTGCTGGCGGCAGTGGTGGGGGGCGCGGCAGGGATCTCTGCAGGACAGCGAGATGCAGGCAGGGGAGGAGAGGAGATAAAAGAAGGAGGCGTTATTCCAGATCCCCAACAGCCCGGCCCTTTGCCCTTCCCAAGGATGTCTACCAGCAAGGGGCATTTCCCAGCCATGTCCTCCAGCAAGGAGCCTTGCAAGAGCCCCAGGAACCAGCACACCAGGTCCAGACCCTCTGGGGAACAGGGCCTCCCCAAGAGGGTGTGGGAAAGGGTCTTTTAAAACCAAAACATTTGGCTCATGGCTAAAAATAAAAGAAGATACAGCCAGCCAGGTAACTCAAATGGTGTCCCAGCCAGCAACTGGTGCCCAGACACAGCCCGTCTCAATTGCTAGGTCCTGGTTTGTCCCCCCGGGTGCGGGATGCTCTTGCAGGTGCTTGGAGGGTGCGTGAGCCCAGCCCCAGCGGGCAATGGGAGCATTGCTGCCTCGCCCTCCCCATGCTCTTCCCATCCCTGTCTGAGGCAGTGCGACCACTCCTCTCCTGTGAGATAGGATGCCAGTAAAGGATTGCATCCATCTGCTGGGGTGCAAGTGTTATCTCACACATTTAAAGGAAACACAAACATATCTGGTGCCAACGCAATGGTCCCTGGTTTTGATTTGGGGCTGGCTTTGCAAAGCTCAAGCCAGATAGTGTTCTGGATCTTCATGCCCAAGTCTGACCATGTTTATTGATGTTAGAAAGGACGGACTGCAGGTGGAGTACATTACATGGTCCCAGCTTTGGCAAGACCATCGCTTTTCCCCACTGCACATACGCAGCTCTTACGACTGACGTCTTTTGTGCATTTAGGGCACAGTGCTGCAATTTCTGTGCATCCTGGGAAATTTGGCAGGGGAACACCCTAACCAGGCCATTTTGAATGTGGAATTTAGGCACTGGCCGGGGTTTGGCATCTGCCTCCTGCTGCTTTTGCTCTCCGGAACCTGGCCAGCCACGGAGGCAGGGTTTGTTTGGGTCTGTCTGCATTGCAGTGACAACAGGGGTGCAGCCCAATTAGCATTAGATCACTTTTTGAGTCGTTCACCCTCATGCAATTAGAGACAGGCACAAGCCCATGCAAAACACATGGTGCCTAATCAGGCAGTACATGAACAGCCAGCACAGCCCTCCCAAAAGCGGTGGCTGGATGGGTGCTCGTGCCTGCCTGTGTGGGCTGCTCTGCAGACAGACCCCCCTGGTGTCTTGTTTGCTCCGCATGAGCTGATTTTTGCATGGCTATAAGCCTTGGGACTTAAGCGGTGGTAAATCAGAGAGTAACTGTGCTCCTGAGGGTGATGTGGACGGAGCCTTGTTAGGTGCAGCCTACCAGCGCCAGAGGGAAGAGCAGCGCAGGGAGGGATGGCGAGCAAGTGCCCTCCACTACACATGCATGAAATATGTGTGAAGCACATCCCCCTCATGTAGGATATGCTGACAGACATTTTTCAAGGATGAAAATGTGCCGGTTTGGGGGGTTTTTTTAAGATGAGAGAATTGTGTGTTGCTCATATCCTCATTTTAATTGCTTTAGCATTGTACATGCAGATCAAACTCCCAACAACTGCACAGCAGCTTGGTAGCCAGAAGAGAGCATTGCTTGAAAAATGTTTCCACCAAAATTTTTGGCCCCTTGGAGAGAATGTTTTGCAGTGAAACACAAGTAAAGGGCTGTCATGAGTGCCAGGACAGTGGCTGAGTTGCAGGGCTGGGGCCGGGCAGCCCTGTCAGGCTCACGCCAGCGGGCAGCCTTGAGCACCCTGGTTCGGGAGCTGGCGTGAGCACAGCCCGGCTCCAAACGCCTGGTTAGATCGTGTTGAAATTCTGTGTCTGTCTTTATTTAGTGCAATGAATCCCAAGGGAGGTGATGCAAGGAACAATTTACTCTCCGATTTACCATGGCCCTGGGGAATGATTAATGATAAACCTTTGCGCATACTTGCTGCAAAGCATACCGGAGCCATGACTGTAGCATCTTGGGGAAACAAGCATCTGGTTTGAGCTCTTGCCGTCCCATTGCGACACGGGGAAGCATGAACCTCAAGTGACGAGAAACCACCCTGGAATGTATCCCATAATTTGGCAACAGCCATCCTGAGAGGCAGATGCTGCCAGGGGACAGTGTGGGAACAGACTGTGGGCTCCCAACAAAGACTTGATTCTTTCAACCTTCACTTTTCTTTTCCCATTGGGCCTTTTTTCCCCCTTTTAGCAGCAGGGAGTCAACCTCGAGGGGAGCAGCCCCTCCTTCCCAGCCCATCCCAGGCACTGTCATTTCGATGCTGCCTTTTGTTAGGGCAGGGGAAGATGTCTCTCACAAGGTGCATCAGCCGCTGCATGATCCAACAACAGCAAAACCAACAGGCAGCAGAGAGGAGCACTGGGCTAAAGCACGCCTGGCCCAAGCAGTGAGTGCTCGGCAGGGACTTGAGCGGGGATGCGGGTGTTTGCAGAATGAATGCTGCAACGCAGAGGCTTTGGGAGCTGTACCTGGTGCTTGCTGCTGTTGTTTTAAGACCGGAGAATGAGAGCAGCCTTGGGAAGGCAAACTAAAAAGCAAACCCAAGGAAGCAAACTGTAGAACAGCCCGTGTTTCTGGGTGGGTTGTGTGAGTGTAAGATCCCCTTTAGCAATCCTGGTGCTATCAGTTCCGTTACTGTGATGGCAGCTCCATCAAACCAGCAGCTCCTCTGATTTGAGCACTGTGCCAGTGCAGCACAGCCTGATTTTGGAGGGAAAAACCTGTTTGTAGCACTCTGCCTTAGCATCCAGACCTGATGCAGTACCCTGAAGCAAATGTGCTCTGGGGGCACCTTTGCTCTGTGAAATCAAATTACAGGCAAATCGGGCTGTAGATGCACTAACACAACCCACCCAACAAGGCAGCTGAGCTACTTGGTAGCTAGGGGTGAATTTTGGACTATGTGCCCCCACTGTGGGCAGTGTTGCTGGCGGGGGTAGCCGGGCAGCTCCGTACCCCAAGCGCTGCCCATTGGCATGTTTGCAGTGGTATTAGCATCTGCCTGGCCTGGGCAGTGGCTCCTGCGGGTTGATAAAGGTTAATATCTCTAATCTACAGACATTGAAAGAGAGATCCACCTACTTATGCAGGGGGCAATGGGAGACCGGCTTTGCTGGTAGCCTTTGGCGCATCGATTGCATGTGATGCCGGTGACACCGTCTTTACAGGGACATTGGCCCGTGGTTTGGTTACAGGTTTGGCCGGCAGCGCCCACGGGATGGCAATCGCACTCTGTGGGGGGAACACACAAGAAGAGAGTCAGGGGGAGAGGAGAGTCGGTGCAGGCAGAGTTGTGGCATTGGCAGGGAGCGGGGTAAGCGCGGTGGGATGCTGGCAGCTCTTGCCGTGTGGCTTCACCTTCTCCGCAGCTGACGCTGGACCTTCGGCAAGTGTCCCAGCCAGCCAGCGACCGCACTGACCTGAAACAGAGGTGGCATTTGGCAGAGAGGGGTGTGTGGCAGTCACTTGGGTGCAGAGGGGATGGCACCAGAGAGGGGATGGCTCAGCCACAGCCAGTCCCACTGTGGAGACGGAACTGCAGCCAGGACATCTTGCCCAGGGCAATGAGCGCTCTGCAGATCCAGGGAGGCAGTGTGGGGTGTCCCTGCTCAAGGATACCCACCCACAGACATTGCAACTGCCTCATCCCATGGGTGCTGTGATCAAGAGTTTGCTGGGCTTGAAGAGGAGGGGAGCAGGCAAGGCAGCACTGCTGGAGGGCTCTGAGAGCCACAGTGCCCCCTGCCCCCACCCCAGCCAGCTTCAAACTCCCCTGGGCTCCCTGGAGCAGTGGCAGGGCTGAGCATTTCATCACCCCTTCAGCACACGAGGTCTCAGGCAGGAAGCAACTGCTTTCAGAGATGGGAATTCATTTCATGTGCGCTACAAAAAAAAAAAAAAAAAAAAAAGCCACCCTCCTTTCAGTGCTTTTGCTCAAGTCCTTCCCCGCCGAGCAGCATCCCTGGCAGCTGGCACTATGGGCGCAGGAAGGAAATGCCCGGGCGGGATGCAGGCAGGCTGGAGGACCTGCTGTTCCCGGCCAGATGGATGGAGGTTTGACGGCAGAGCTGGGCAGATGTGAAGGGTTTGGCAGGGGATGTAAATACTGCACTTGAAATCATTCACCATCTCATTTCCCACAGTGGGACTTACCGGTGCAGCTGTTTGTTAAAAAAAAAAAAAAAGCCAAAAAAAAAAAGCCAGGGAAAAAAAAAGCATCGGGGCTTGTTATCATCACTGCTCCAAAAGGATTATGGCCTCGCACATTTGTTAACAGCCCTGATTTCTAAGAGCTGTAAGCACCATGCCAGACTGCGGTCTGCCCCTGCTGAGCGGTGGCAGGGAAAGGCAGGAAAGCTTTCCTTTTCTTGCCCAGCATCCTCGGGAAGGAGCCAGCCAAAGCCTTCCTGGGGCAGCACTGATCCTGCGCTTCTCCTGCCCTGCAGGGGAGCTGCCCACCAGAAGGAGGGTTTGGGGGAAAACCTGCCCCTCTGCCCAAAACCTGGAGGGGGCTGCTCTGTGGGTCAGGACTCCAGCAGCTGGGCTTGGCCCCCAAGTCCCCCCAACTGAGCATATCACTCCCATGAGGGTTTGTGCTGGACCCCACAATGCTGCTTGGTTTGTCTTGCACCCTCCTGGCTCTGAGACACCCTAAATCTGCCTCATTTGGGAATGGCAGATCACATCCCATGTTGGGTGTCAAAGTTTTGGTGTTTGGCTGGAGCTTCCCTCCAACCCGTCCCAGCACCTCCTGTTCCTGCTCCCTGCACCAGTAGTCCCCAGTTTGACCTTTGCTGGGCAGCAGGTCCCTGCACTGGGATGTCCCCATCCGTCCCCACACAGCCCACCCCAGAGCAAGAGCAAACTGCCGCCATCCCCTGGCTCTGTCAAGTGCAGGACAGGAAGACCCTTGCCAAAACCTGATGATTTCTCACATGGGAGGGGAAAAAAACCAAACCAAAACATTTTCTTCTTTTGTCCTCCTTCCCTAACACCTCTGATTTGGGATTTTTGATTAAAAATCCTACTCTCCCCCCCTGCCTTGAGCTGCCTCTGGGAGCCAGCCACTTGCAAGCCTGCCTGTAGAGGAAAACTTGCTTTTCTATCAAACCCAGTTTAGAAAAGTTTTAACATTAAATCAGTGCAGCTGGTGATGAGCACAGAGAGCGGGGCAACGTTCAGGTGGGAAAACCTGCATGCTGCAGCCCCAGGGGATGGCTTCAGTATTGCTGGGGGAGGGGAAATAAAAATACATTGAGCAAGAGCCTGAAGAAGGAACAGGACAGAAAAGAGTTAAAGAAGAGCAGAGAGGCAGGAGTTAATACAAAAATAAGCAAATCAGGGAAGGGTTACACAAGAAGAGGCAAAGGGCAGGAGAATGGGGAGGAACATGCCTCATGTTTCAGGCGTCCCCTCTGGGGCTGCGTGTGCTGGTTTCAGGCATCGCCTGCAAACCCCCATCCTGTGAGTAATCCTCCCCCATGTGAGCGGATTGCACTGATTTCAGCGGGGGGGGGGGGGGAGATGAAGAAAAGGAAAAAAAAAAGTCTTCATGATGAGTAAGATTTACAGAATCAGGCTCTTGGAGGACGGGCTGCAGAGCACAGAGCGCTCTTTTGGACACCACATAAATAAATAGCGATGCTGCTGCTTCCTTCCCTCATGAGGTAATGCCTCGGCACAGCTTGTCCAAAGCTGCCGTGGTTATTTTTACAGCCGTATCTGTCTGAGGTTGCCTACTCGCTCCCCAAGCCGGGCTCCTGTGAGGGCTCCGCAGTATGGCTGCTAGCCCCGACCCCGTGGGCACGCGGGATGTGCCCGAGGCTACAGAGCAGACAAGTGGCGGAGGAGCTGGGAATCGCCAGCCCTTGGTCCGGGACCTCACCAGGAGAATGGCAGATTGCTGATAGCTCCCTCGGACACGTCCTGGGGTAAATCCCCTCTGGGGTAGGGATCTGCTTTCTGCCACTGGTCCCCAACTCTTTGTTGCAGCACAGGACCCTATGAGCCCTGGGGCAGCAGCGCTGCGGCTCCTTCAATGCCTGACCCCATTTTGACTTTTTGATCTTCCAGAAAACTCTCCGAATCAGCAGCAACTCAACTCTCCTGGCGCGGGAAGGCAGGAGGTGGCCTAAGCTGTGTCTGCAGATGTACATTTGCCGTCCCTGTCCGGGAGGAACTGAACCAGTGCCAGCAATTAGGAGCAATTAAAGGCAATTTGCAGTTCCCTGGCCAGTGCAAACACTTGCAGCCAGCAATTACAGGCTCTTCTCCTTCCCCAGCCATGGAGCAGTTGGGCTGCTGGTGGTTAATGCTGATCTTTTCCAGTACAGTTCAAATTCCTTTGGGCTGTAACCCCAAATTGAGGAAAGATTGCACTGGAATCACAAAGGGGGTGTGATGGGTGCAAACACCCCTCTGGCATCCTCGCTGCCTTTCTGACAGGCACCTTTTGATTCACAAACCATGTTTTCATGCCCGGACTTCCCTGGGTGCAAGTGTTGGCCCATCTGCCACCACGATGCATAATATCAGCAGTCTGCTGCACGGAGCAGAGCAGAGACCGTGAGGCTGAGAGAACCTCACTGATCAGGGGAAGAGGGGGCCTGGGCCATGATAATGGAGATAATAAGAGGGATAAGAGCTGATGTATCCTCTGTATCCTCATGCCTCGCTTAAAAGAATCACTCCATAGAGGAGGATGCAATGGTGCGGAGAGTGAGCTGGGAGCAAACAGGAATGATGCTGGTGCAAGGAAACAGCGCGTCCTGAAGTCTGTTGGTTCACAGAGTATCAGGGAAAATAACTGTCATGATTTAGGTCTTTCAGAAAGCCTTTAAGAAAAATCTTCAGGGAATGTCTGTGGCAGAGATGACCAGGAATTACCAGTGAAAAATGAAGTTATTTTGTGCTTAAAAATCTGGCTGTGGAGGAGAAAACAAGGAGCGGGAATGGAGGCGAGGTTTGAATGGGGAATGAGGGTAGCGATGGGGGTGCCTCTGCCCACAAAAGCTGATTTTTCCTATAGAATAACCATGACCTGGAAAGCAGGGAGCTAACAGCTTTTATAGGTTACCACCTTCGGCTTGGCTAGTCCAGAGGTGAGGAGACCGTGTAGGTCTTCTGCGAGACCCACTGACACCGGCCAAATGGGTGAAGGGGTGGCAGGCAAAACTCAGGGTGCAGAAGGAGGCAGAATTGGGAGGAGGGAACAGGATGGCTCATATATGCTGAAGGGTCCCAATTAACTACAGCCACTCCAGGAGAAGATCGAGGAGTCAATGAAACATCTGGCTGATTGCAACAGAGCTCAGAAGAGCCACAAGATAGTAGGTTGTATTATGAAAGGGGTAGAGAGTAACACTGAATATAACATCATGCCACTATAGAAATCAATAGCACGTCCTCAGCTGGGAAACCGGAGTGAAAGGCATGGAAAGGCACCCATCTGAGGGCGATGGAAAAGATGAGAAATGCTTTGCCAAGAGACGATGGAGGGATGCCAAGCAATGCGCAGCGCCGAGAAGGTCAGACAGGTGCTCCTCTTCACTGGTCCTTAAAATACAGGAACAAAGGGACATTCAATGCATTTAAAAGGCAACCTTTTTCAGCGATAAAAGGAAATGCTTCTTTGCACTGCACGTAATTAACTCGTAGAACTCATGCTACGAGACACTATGGCAAAGGCCCAACAGGATTAGATAGGCCTATGAATGAGAACATCTGTAGTTACATTAGCTGGGATTAATATATATACGGATATAAGCACTCCAAGCCAGCTACTAACTGCAGGTCAGAAGAAATTTCCCCTGGGGGCGTGCTATTGCAGAACTGTCTGTCGTAGACTTTTATATCTCTGTCTGGAGCTTCCAACCCAAGACACTATTATATGCACCAATCTGCTGAGGGACACCATCATCCGCCCAGCAACGGTGCGTTTCTGTGCTTCAGCTGAGATTTGACTCGTTTAAGATTTAAAAAAATGCCCAAAAGCAAATCTTAGGACCGTGCGTGAAAGGATGCAAAACGCCCTGGAAAAGTGGTTGGACTTGCTGGGATGTCTCCGGCCCACCGGAGGTTGACAAATTGCATGACAAAAATGCAAATATTTTTCCACCCCTGAATTTTGGTCGGAGGTATTCCCAGCCGCTAATCTTTCCCCCACACATGTGTGTTGAAAGGTAAACAGAGGGATAAATTGCCAGGCTTAGCTCTCGTCAAGTGTGACCTTT